GGCCAAGAGACGCAATATACCTGACCTGCTGGGGGTCCATTGCTGGACAAAATGATCAGAAAAGACCACTGCCCACCAGAATAGAGCTGTTCACAAAAAACAAGTGGATAGGCTGAAAAGTTGAGTTTTGTCAACTATGAGCACAACAAATTGTTTTGACCCCCAGACCCGGAGCATGGCTTCCCTTACGTCCCATTCAGATCATCACTGCCAACTGTAGGGTTTTTGTCTGCTTACTGGTCTTGTTTTAACCTCACCCTGAGCCCTCTGCTCCATCCATGAAATGGGATTAAGCCCCGCCCTTCCACAAAATTAAGACAAGGCTATTTGTGTGTGTTAAGATGAATTGAGACCATAGCCAATTTCTTTTTTTTTTTTTAAGCATTCCTTTATTGTGGAAAAATACACATAACATAAAACTTACCATTTTAGCCATTTTCAGTGTATAGTTCAGCGGCATTAAGTACATTCACACTGTTGTGCAACCATCACCAGTCTCCATCTCCAGAACTTTTTCATCTTTCCAAATGGAAACTTGATACACGTTAAACCACCTCTCATTTCCCCTCCCTGGCCCATGCGAATCACCATTCTACCTTGTGTGTCTATGAATTTGACTATTCTAGGTACCTCATATACATGGAATTGTATAGTATTTGTCTTTTTGTGACTGACTTATTTCACCTGGTGTCATGTCTTCTTTCAGATGTCTCCGTGGAAATGGAATTGCTGGATCGTAGGGTAGTTCTATTTTAAAGTTTTTGAAGAACCCACACACTGTTCTCCTTAGTGGCTGACCCAGTTTACACTCCCTCCAACAGTGCATGGGGGCTCCCCTTTCTCCACATCCTTGCCAACGTTTGTGATCTCTTGTCCTTTTGATAACAGCTATCCTAACGGGTGTGAGGTGGTATCTTCGGTTCTGCTTTGCTTTTCCCTGATGATGAGTGATGTTGAGCATCTTTTCATGCACCTGTTGGCCATTTGTATGTCTTCTTTGGAACAATGTCTATTTGGGCCCTTTGCCCATTTTTTAGTTGGATTATTATTATTATTTTTAAAGATTTTATTTATTTATTTGAGAGAGACTGAGAGAGAGATAGGACACATGCACAAGCAGTGGGGGGTGGTGTAGAGAGAGAGGGAGAGAATCCCAAGCTGACTCCGGGCTGAGCGTGGAGCTTGATGCGGGGTTCAATCTCATGACCCGGAGATCATGACCTGAGCCGAAACCGAGAGTCAGACACTTAATCTACTGAGCCACCCAGGCGCCCCAGATTATTTTTTTATTAAGTTGTTTTTTTTTTTTTAAAGATTTTATTTATTTGAGAGAGAGAGAATGAGATAGAGAAAGCATGAGGGGGGGAGGGTCAGAGGGAGAAGCAGACTCCCCGCTGAGCAGGGAGCCCGATGCGGGACTCGATCCTGGGACTCCAGGATCATGACCTGAGCCGAAGGCAGTTGCTTAATCAACTGAGCCACCCAGGTGCCCCTATTTTTTATTAAGTTGTTGGATTTCCCTATATATTTTGGATATCACCCCCTTCTTAGATATATGGTTTGCAGATATTTTCTCCCATTCTGGAGTTGCCTTTCCATTTTGTTGAAGGTTGCTTTTGCTGTGCAGAAGCAGCTTTTAGATTTGATGTAGTCCCACTTGTTGATTCTTGGTTTTTGTTCCTTGTGCTTTTGGTGTCATCCAAAAACATCAATGCCGAGAACAATGCCAAGGAGCCGTTTCCTGTGCTTTCTTCTATGAGTTTTATGGTTTCAAGTTTTACATTTAAGTCTTTAATCCAACTCAAGTTGATTTCTGTGAGTGGTGTAAGATAGGGGTCTCATTTCATTCTTTTGCATGTGAACATCCAGTTTTCCTATCACCATTTATCAGAGAGACTGTCCTTTCTCCTTGAGTATTCTTGGCTGCCTTGTCAAATATTAGTTGACCATATACACCTGGGTTTATTTCTGGGCTTTTGATTCTGTTCCATTGGTCTATGTGTCTGTTTTCATGCCAGTACCCTACTGTTCTGGTCGCTATAGCTTTGTAATATAGCTTGAAACCAGGCAGTGGGATACCTCCATCTTTGTTCTTCTTTCTCAACATTGCTTTGGTCCTTTGGGGTCTTTTGTGTTTCCATGTGAATTTTGGGTTTTTGCTATTTCTGTGCAAAATGCCAATGGAATTTTGATAGGGATTGTATTGAAACACAAGATCATTTTGGAAGGGAGGCTGAAACCTTTAATGGTGACTGATGAACTCAATGGTGAAGGGCAGAGGGAATTCAGACTCATCTAGGCCAGATTAAGACCTTTAGGGGGTCTGTCTCTCAGCTCCACATGCTGACTTCTAAGGGCTGCTTTTCATCATTGAGACTGAAAGTCTGCAACCTACATGCTGTGACTCCCTGACATGTCTCCCCTACATTTCTTTGGCTTCCTGTTAGATTCTGCCAAAAAGAGGCCCTGGCAGGAGATCAGATGGCAAGGAACAGAGATAAGTATCCAGTGCAACAGGTGCTGGAAGTTGCTGGTGTGGCAATGGGCACGGAGCCCCGGTCTAGTTCATGCATCTGGTAGATCCAGAACCAACCGTGATGGTGTGGTCAGTGGTGCAGCAGGAAGCAGAGGCCCCTGGGGCTGGAATGCACCACAGGGGCAGGGGCGGGGGCAGCATATAATCACTGAATTTCCCCTTTTTAACTCTTCCTCACTTTTGTACTCAATTCTCCGTGTTAAATTCCCCTGCTTGAAATACCTTGAATGATAGCAATTATCCTGCCTGGACACTGAATGGCATCTTTTCATGCAATTTAATATAAAAAGAACACCAAACCTTAAAAAAGTTCAGTGTGTATCCTTCCAGACTTTTCCCTGGGATTTTACCATACAAATGATTTAATACTGTGTGTATTTACGGAAGTATTATCATTCATGTGCATTCTTCCACAACTTGATTTTTTTTTTTAAATATATGATAACCAGTCTTGGAGTTCTCTCCACGGTGTTATAAATATGAGCTTAAACCGATGCCTTGTGTTCTAGCAGCCATTTATCTAATGATGGACATTCAGGTTTTCAATAGGTCTGCTCTTAAGAAGGCGCTGTGGTGAACATTCTTAAACGTGCGCCAGTGTTTCTTGGTGGTAGTTAACCAGACATGGAATCCCAGAGTTGTGTACATTTTAGATTTGACTACAGTTTGCCCGATTGTTCTTCAAAGTGGCCGTGCCAATTTACACTCCCACCCAGGGGCAGGAGAATGTCCTCTCCAATTCTTGATATTTCCCAGCTCTTTAGTTTTGGACAGCCTGGGGGATGAGACAGTATCTTGCTGGTGCTTTAGTTTGCATGCTCCTATGGACTCATGCATTGGAGCATCATCTGATAGGTTGACAAGGACTACTTCCAGTGGCAGAAGTAATTGTTCTTGCGAAGCAGAGTGGTGGCTGCTCCCTGGCTTTCAGGGGGCAGGTCTGTGAGGTGGCTCTTTTGCTACAAAGCTGCACCAAAAACTCCCCATGATTTCTTGTGCCATCAGCAGTTGGCTGACGCCGCTGTCAAGGGGGAGGGAAAAAGCGCCAAGCCTTGTTTGGACGCGTGTGGATGTGCGTGGTACCTAGCAGCAAGTAGCTTCCCCTAGAGTAGGGGATGGACTGCTGAGTGCCCGGCAGTGGCCAGCCCCTGTGGAGGGCAGGGATAGACAGAGCAGAAAAGGATTCCATCAGCCACTCCCTGGAGGATCCATCAAGCAGCAAGTTTGCAGTAGTAAAAGTGGTGGGCTTTATTGAGAGCCAGTGATGCAGTCCACTCCCAGGGTTAATGAAATGTCATGGAAGCCGGACAGTTTTCACCTCTGGATTCCTTCTGATGACACGGAATCCCGTGATACATTTTAGATTCTGAAAGCCCCAAGCAGAGTCCAGTAGGAGTACGGTAACCTCTCTGCTTTGATAAAATAGAAACAGAAAACAGGACAAGGAAGGGAGGGGGAGAGACCTGAGAACGGTTATGCTTCAGTTAATTCTGTTTTGTTTTGTTTTCTACAAGATGCTCCTCACAAGCTGAAGGGATCACCTTTCTTGCAAATTTCAGTTATATTCTGGTGGGAAAAGCATGAACTCAACTGGAAGTCCAGACTTTGCCACTTTGTGCAAGTTTCCTAGCACCCCGCCCCCCCAAAAAAACACCTGCCTGCTCTTGAAGCCTCTTGCTCGCTGTTCGTGGTAAGCAGCACCAGGCTGGAAGTCAGGACCAGGAATTCTAGCTCCTGTTTTGACAGAAACTTACCGGGTAATTAGCAAGCTCCTTCAGCTCTCTCTCCCTCAGTTTCTCAATCTGTAAGAGGGTGTGATCATGCCTGTACTCCTGGCTTCTGTGAGGATAAAGACGACAGGAAGTGCGAAGGCTTTGGCTAAACACTCCCGCATTGTACGTAGCCATCAGGTGCAAACTCAGGTGTGCCAGAAAGTGCCCAGCCACAAACAACCCAAACTAGTTTTACTCTAGATGCAGAGAGAATATGCTTTTATGGATGAAACCGGTTGTCCAGGACGATTTCTGGCCTGTTTTTTGGGGATGCTGGGCAGCAGGGTCAGAGAGGATTGTGACAAGGACGACAAACTCTGAAGACCTGTCAGGTGTCCTCCCAGGTCCTCCTGGAAAGCGCAGCTCCAGGGGCTCTCTGGCGCCACCTGGTGTCCCATCCTCGCCACTGCCCAGAAACCACGTGTAAGAAAGTGCTTACAACCTAACTACGCACCCTGGTTTAGACCCGTCCTAGCCAATGGGGGAGGGGGAGGCGGGGCAGGGGCAAGCGAGAGCCCAATCGCCTCCTGTTTTCCGAGGAGAAGGCGGGGCTTGGGATTTACCACGTTGGGTTTGTCCGCAGCGCTAATTACTTTTTCCAAAGGCTGGAGGGCTTCACTCCGGCTGGCGCCGCCGCCTCGAGCGCTCCTGCTCCGCCGCGACCGTCCGGGGGGCTGCTCCTCCCCAGTACCATGTGTGACGGCGCCCTGCTGCCTCCTCTCGTCCTGCCCTTGCTGCTGCTGCTGGTTTGGGGACTGGACCCGGGCACAGGTAGCGCTCCCTCGCCCACCGCCCCTTCCTCGCCCGTGCCTCTCGCGGCCACCTTCCTCCTGCCCTCCCGAGGCGTCCTGGCGGCTCCCGCCTGCCTGCGCGGCCCGGGTCCGGCGGCGGACCGCTGACAGCGCTTGGGGCCGAGGGGGTGCGGG